AACACAACATTGAATATTAACTGTACTTCAATAAAAAAGAAAGATAAAAAAACTCCCTAACTGATAAGAGTGGCCTATACTGCTTGTACAACCAAGGTGATTTATGCTGAACAACTGCTTTCCTTCTGAAAGTCCGGAGTTTTGGGACCTCCCAGGCAGAGCATGCCTACATGACCAGCATCAAATAAAAGCTTAGGGTTCTGAGGCTCCCTGGTAAACACTTGGCACGTGTTGTCACAAAACATTGCTGGAGGAATTAAGCACGTCATGTGTGACTCCACTAGGAAAGGACTCTTGGAAGCTTGAGACAGGTTTCCTCTGGACTTCACCTAAGGGCTTTTTCTGTTTGCTGATTTTGCTTTGTATCTTTTCACTGTTATAAATCTTAGCTATGAGTACATGTTGAGCCCTGTGAGTTCTTTTAGTGAGCCACCAAACCTGGGGGTGGTCTCTGGGACCCCAATGCAGGAAGGAAAGGGAACTCTTCAAACCTTGGGCCAAAAATTTTCCCAAAGTAACAAGATATAAATTTACCACCAAAAGAAAAAGAATTTGGTCTACATTATATAAAATTAGTCCACCTCCATTTTTTTCCCTAGTTAAGCCCATCTCTTTTAAAGTGTGAGAGAAAGATAGCTCTCCACTTTGCATGTCCTAAAGTTCTTATAACAAACCTAGCACAGCAAAGGAGCAGCAGCAGGTGTCAAGTCTTGGCAGCTGGGGGAGAACTGTCTGGGAAGCCAGGGCATGAAAGGAGGCCATGCCACACCCTGGGAGCCCAGCCGCCAGCTTTCCCTGGCAGGGGCTTGGACACCTGCCTTGAGGAAATGCTGCCAGGGGCATGGGACCAAAGGGAGCTGCCCTTTTGACCCTGCTCTAATGCTCTGCCTTGCCAAGCCACAGTGTTTATGCAAAGTGTCAAGTGGCTGAGATAGCTGCAGTTTTCTAGAGTTTGATTGTCCATTTTCTTATGGTACTTAATATGAAAGGAATTACCTTCTCTTAGAGGGTAGGAAACTTGTGGTGTGTGTTCTCATAAAGTGATCAGACATCAAGGGTGCCCAGGTAATCAGTGACAATGATCCTTGGCCTGTGTAAAAATGAAGTGGCTTTGCAGTGCCCTCTTTCACATTTGCTGCCTCAGAAGACTGCAATAATGCATAGATGATTTTGCCTTTATTTCACTCTCTTTCATTCATTTCCTTTTATTTCATTTCATTCCCTTTATTTCATCCTCCATAGCCCCTATATGTTATAGTAATGTATTTTTTAGTTCATATTTTTTCTTAACAGTTAAAGGGAAGAATTATTCCTCACACTGCTTTCAAGCTTGCCCAAGTCAGTCTCACTTTGGAAAAGAAATGCTATTTACAGAAGAACTACACTGCTACATCTCTCTTTTTTTCCTTTCTTTCTCTTTTTTTTTTGTAGTCAAAATACATCAGTGGTTTTTAGACAGTTTTCACTTGCCAGAAAGCAGTGCTTGAAACTGTGTGCTATGTTCTATTTAATGTCTTGACTGTCAGAATGTTCTTTTGCAGGCAACATATCCATTTCCATGATGGTTGTCCAGTTACATTGTGAAGTTTGCAAGCCTTTTGAGGTGATTATCAAGACACAGATTGCTTGTTGCTTAACCAAGTGTCCTAAAGCATGTATGTGAAGGTACATAATTATCATTTTTTATTCTAAAAAGCTATGTAACTTATATTATGAAAACTATTTTAAAAATATACCACTGTTGATGAAAAAATATGTGAGGGAAATAAGGTATGTTTTTTGAGATTTGCCTACTAGAATATTTGTTGTATAAATATCCAGTTACTTTGGCGTTAAGCATCATTGAGTTCTGCAGAATTCTGGCTAATGGTAGGCTTCATCAGAGTCAAAGTTTTTAGATACTGTAATAGGTTTTTATAAAACAATACCTCATCTCTTTCACAAGAGACCTTTAAACACAGCATTGATTCTCATCTGCCAGAAACTGGACCAGAGATGGACCATGTGCAGCTCTGACTCCAGGAGTGTTATTAATTGTACGACCTCTCAAGGTCTTTTTGATCCCTGAGCACCTATTATTCTATAACAGATTGAACACACTGTTTGTTAAAATTTACCACTATGTAAAAAACTTTATCAGTTCAGCTCATCAGTGTGTTATACTTCAGAAAAATCTTCCTCCCAGTTATTAATTTCACAGCGCAATTTCAGAGTCTAAGGGTAGTGCCTCAGTACTTTTTTTTTATTTGTGAATTGCAATTTTTTCCTGTATTCCCCCATTCAATCTGGGCTGCCACAATCAGACAGACGGAAAATGTGAGGACACTTTTTTCTTGCATCTGTAGTGGAAACCTTAGCAAACAGGAACTGCTCCAGGCCCGTCAAATAGATGCATCTCAGCACTTTCTTTTAACTTGAGTCCATAAGCCTCCCCATGAGAAGTGCTCCAGAGAAGAACTGGGCTGGGGGAATTAGACTCTTGTGAGTCTCACTTCTAATAGGGGCAAAATTTTGCAATGTACAATAAAGGAGTAGATCACCAAACATTTAAAGGGAATTGTGACAAAATACTTATGACATTTAGAAAAATAAATCGGAAAAATTAAATTTTGAATCAATAAACAATGGGAAATCTTCAAAGTACTAAAAAGAAAAACGTTAATGAAGCATATATATATAAAACAGTGGGAGTTACACAAATGGGTAGCGACTAGATCAAAATGCTATTGAACTACAAGTACTCCGGGAAGATAATAATGAAGATAGCATAGCTTTTCTATCTCTCTGAATCCCCACATAAAAACCAATAGCACAACTGTAAATGAAAACACCCATGGGGCTTCCCTGGTGGCGCAGTGGTTGAGAATCTGCTTGCCAATGCAGGGGAAACGGGTTCGAGCCCTGGTCTGGGAAGATCCCACATGCCGCGGAGCAGCTAGGCCCATGAGCCACAACTACTGAGCCTGCGCTTCTGGAGCCTGTGCTCCGCAACAAGAGAGGCCGCAACAGTGAGAGGCCCACGCACCGTGATGAAGAGTGGCCCCTGCTCGCCACCAACTGGAGAAAGCCCTCGCACAGAAACGAAGACCCAACACACCCAAAAATTAATTAATTAATTAATTAATTAAAAAAACACCCATGGACAACTCTGCAACAAATATTGGCAACAAGATGTCCTCCACCCTCAAGTGGAAAGTGTGAGGTCACACAACCAACAGCTAAGACCTGATATAGTTGTCCATGCTGAAGGAAGAATGAAGTAAATAAAAGGGCATCCATCAGACCTAAGAACAAGAGGATCACAAAATAGCCAATAGTTTAGAAAGCACAAGGGACCAATTTGAGATTCGTGTTATCCTTCTATCCACAATGTTGCTGAACTATTTTTTTAGAACTAGATTATAGATCTTCTTGGATTTTCTATGGAGACATATTGTCTATAAATAATAAAAAGTTACTTCTTTGTTTCCACTGTCCTTTTATTTTCCTTTTTGTCTTATTAACACTTCAGTAACATGTAATAAACCTGAAAAGCTTGACTAGTTCTTGACTTCAAAAAGAAAACTGCTAATATTTCACTTTTAGATATGATGTTTATTTTATCAAGGTTCTATAATGAAAATGTTTTTCTAATTGCATCACAAGTAAATATGGCAAAATACAACTTTGGTTACATCTTGGTAGAAGATCATGGTAGATTAAAACTAATTGCAACTCTTTGCTACTTCTTCCATTGAGAGTTGGAGTCTAATTCACTCCCCCATGAATCTGTCCTGTTCTTACTAACGTGTTTGACCCACAGAACATGGTAGAAGTGAAGTTTTGGAAAGCTTTGCAGCTTCTGCCTGGGACTCCTAAGACACACTAGCAGGGAACCCTGAGCTGTCACATAAGTCTGACTACCCTGACTGCTATGCTGGGAAGGCCACAAGAAGGTGCTCCACTTGATAGTCTCAAATGATTCCAGTCTCCAAGCTATCTTCACCAAGGTGTCAGACACTGAGTGAAGCCTGAACCCACCAGACCAGCCATCCACCAGGAGAGTAAACTCTGCTGACACCAGCAGAAGAAAAGAGTCAATCAAGCCTTGCCCAAATTCCTCAGCAACAAAATTGTGAGATGTAATAAAATAGTTGTTTTAAACCACTATCATTTGGGACAGTTTGCCAAGCAGCAATAGATAACTGGAAGATAGGTATAGAAACTATTTTTTATGGTTTTATATTTTTTCAAAATTTAACAAAATTGAGTCTCCTCCTCATTATTGGAGTTGAGGCTATTTTCCACTGGTTAGGAAAAACAACAAAAGGTAAAGATAGGCAAGCATAGCACAGAGGATCTCAGGTTCAGTGCTAGACCAGTGCAAAGATCAGGTCTGCATGACCAGGGTCACTTAGTGATGGGCCAGCATCTTCATGCAAATCAGAAAAAGGAATACCTTTCTCCTGGCAGGCACAACCTAACACTAGACTGTGATGAACAAAGTGCAGGCTGAATCTCAGCCCCCACTTCTCCCAGCATCCTTGTGCAGGGCACAATTAGTATAACCTATATGCAATATCTTTATAAATTAAAGCGCAAAGCAATGTTTCTACATTTGCAAATGACATAGATTCTTGTGGGTGGCAATGAACTAAGTTGATGAGGATGGAAAGATCTGATGAATCTGTGTGAGTGGGCAGAAAGGTGGCAAATGAGTGCATAAAGTATACATATGAGCTAACAGTCACAGCTAAGGAGAGGGATCTAGGGTTATTGTAGATTGTTCCCTGAAGATAATACAGAGGCTTCTTCTGACAGCAAAAAGAGCAACTACTTGATTGAATCATTAAAGTGCCATTCCCCCTGAGAAGCAAAGTAGTACCACCCACTCAACTGATGCTCTGATGGAAGCTGAATAAGGCAGAAGCCATTATGAGAAAGACTGGAGAAAAATTAACAGCATGAGGGCTCAGAAGAAACAAATACTTCTATATATGAGTGGAATATGAAGGACAAACCAAGCCGGTCCTGGTGAAAGCAGCTGCAGTGGTGGAGATGGTAGCAGTGACTACAGCATGCTTAGTACCGGGAACAAGTAGCTGTGATGATGGTGGTGACGCAAGCAGACTATTGCTGGTGATGGCAGCAGTAGCAGCAACTGAGTTGATTTCCCAGCTGATACCAGTGATATTGGACGGCAGTGGTGACACCAGACCATTAATGCTGGCAACAGGAATGGAGATAAAGCAGTAGTCAGGAAACTGTTAAATACTTCATCAACTCTTTATTCAGCATTGACCACATTTCTGGTATCATGTTGGGTAGATAAATAAATGTTAACAAATACCCATTATATACCCAGCCCCGTAACAGATGTGGGAGTACAAAGATGACTACAACATGGTCCCTACCCTTCAGATGCTCAAAATTGAGTATGGGGAGCACACATGAGAACAAATAACTATGGCAATGTGGTAACTGTGAAAAAGAAATATAAACTTCTGTATAGTCCAATGCAAAGAGAGAAAACATATTCCCTTGTTTTGACATACAGCATTAGAGCAGGCACTGTGTTAGGCACTGTAGAAGACACAAGATAAATCAGACATAGATCCTGACCTGGGATGCTTATAGTCCAGTCGATGAGGTAGGACAAATGTAATTCTATAAAACAAGTAGAAAAGTGATATGTTTTAGAAAGTTCCAGAAAAAGTATTTTAGGTTTTTAAAGGAAAGCCTGCATATAGCAGACACTCAATATTGTTTTAAGGTGCATTCTACCTATTCAATCTTGAATGCCACTTTTTCCTTCTTTGATACCCTTTAATATAGTTTACTTTAAAAAATCCTTATTGAGTGCCTACTATATTGTGTGCCTGCTATACACTGAATATTTTTGATGAGGTCATGAGGGTAGGACCCTGGTCCACTGGGATTAGTGCCCTTATAAGAGGAGACCCTAAAGAGCTTGCAGCTCTCTCTCCCCTCTGGTGAGGAAAAAAGAAAGAAATAAAATCACCTGAGGACACAGTGAGAAGGCAGCCATCTGCAAGCCAGGAATAGAGCCCTCACCAGAAAGCTAACTGTCCAGAACCTTGATCTTGGACTTCCCACCTTACAGAACTGTAAGAAATAAATTTCTGTTAGTTAAGCCAACCAGTCTATGGTATTTGATTATAGTAGTCCTAGTAGACTAACACAAGTTTTGGTACAGGGAATGAGGCCCCCAGCCCCCCCTAAATTGATGTCCTTCTCACCCCAAATTCATGTACAACACAATTCAGTCAAGTTTTTTGACGCTTTATTACGAGGATTTCTTTCCTTCAATTTCCAATAACCTTTCCCTCATTTCCATTTGAGTTGTCACTGGAATGGCCTTTATCATCCATATTTCTACCAACATTCTGTTCATGACTATTCATGTATTTCTGTAAGGTGGAAGCTTTGTCTCCTGCTTGCCTCTTTTCTTTCTGAGCCCTCACCAGAATCATCTTTAATGTCCTTATACCTATCAACAGTTTCTTCACAGCAATCTCGGCTTTTTGTAGCATGGGCTTCAAAATTCTTCCAGCCTCTACCCATCACACAATTCCAAAGCCACATTCACATTTTTTGGTATTTGTTACAGCAGTACTCTATTCCTAGTACCAAAATGTATTGGTATTACTTAGGGTTCTCCAGAAAAACAGAACCAGAAATTTATATAGAAATTTATAAAAGGAACAGACTCATGCAATTATAGAGGCTGAGAAGTCCCAAGATCTGCAGTCTACAACCAGAGACCCAAGAGACCTGCTGGTGTAAATACCAGTGTGAAAGCTGGCAAGCTCAAGACTCATAAAGAGCCAATGCTTCCATTCAAGTCCAAAGGCAGGAAAAGATCAATGTCCCAGCTCAAAGTAGTCAGACAGTTGAAGTTCCCTCTTACAAAAGGAAGGGTCAATCTTTTTGTTCTATTCAGGCCTTCAACTGATTATGGCCACTCACTTTAGGGAAGGCAATCTGCTTCACTCAGGAGGATTGATTCAAATGTTAATCTCATCAGAAAAACATACAAACAAAAAAACAAAACAAAAACAACAACCAACCCTCACAGACACACCCAGAATAATGTTTGACCAAATACCTGGGTTCCTTGTGGCCAAGTGACACATAAAATCAAGCATTACACTGACTATCTTCTGGGCTCTGGGAGTACAAAGTGAACAAAGTTTCTATCCTCATGGAGCTTATGTCCTATTGCAGGGTCACATAAATAAACAATTTCAAACACTGCTAACTGCTAAGAATGTGGACCAAGGAAAAAGACAAAGTGCAAGAAAGGATGTGGGGGTGCGCATAGATGTTTATAGGAAGTAGAGTGAGTCTAAAAGTCTTTGAGCTCAAAAATGAAATTGGAGGGACTCTGGTGGCACAGTGGATAAAACTCCGCGCTCCCAATGAAAGGCCTGGGTTTGATCCCTGGTCCGCAAACTAGATCCCACATGCATGCCTCAACTAAGAGTTCGCATGCCACAACTAAGGAGCCTGCCTGCCGCAACTAAGACCTGGCGCAACCAAATAAAGAAAGAAAGAAGAAAAGAATGAAATTGGAGTTATGCTTTGGGAAGAATAATCTAGTATCAAGGTGCAAAGTGACACATAGAAGAGAGGCACTACAGGTGGGGAAGCTAATACAGCATTCAGGAAAGATGAATGAAATGGAAAAAAGAGAAAAGAAGGGAAGAAACTATTGAGCACCTACTATGTGTCAGACATGCTTTTAAGTGTTTTCACATATTTGAACTGGGAAGTGGCAGGGGGCATGAAAAGGAAGAAAAATAGTAAAAAGATATTACAAAGAATCATCAAGACTTCACAGCTGATTTTGTGTTTATGTATGTGTATATTGGTACATTTACTTGTACTTGGGTAGATACAGTTGGAAAAAAGAAAGGTTCAAAAAGGTCTAAGGTTTCAAGCATGGGTAACCAGCAAGGTAATAGTGGTATTATGAGAAGAAAGGATTATACAAAGGAAGAGAATGAGGAGGGAGGACAATGTGTTATATATTTTTTAAATGAGGCATACAGGCAAAGCTGCTCAATAAACAGTAGGAAATTACAGGGCTACAGGTGAAAAGATAAGTCATACCAGGAGATGTGAAGATAGAGATTATCTTCAGAGATATTGTACCTGAAACAATGAGATGTACTTTGGTTACAAATGAAGAGAATGAAGAGAAAGAAGAGCATATATTTTTATGGATTCTCCTACTTGAGGAAGATCTAGAGGTGCGCTGTCCAATATGGTAGCCATTAGCCACATGAAGGGACTTAAATCAATTTAAATTAAAATGAAAAATTTAATTAGTCGTACTAGCTATATTTCAAGTGTCTACCATATTGAATATCAGAGTTATAAAACATTTCCAACATCACAGAAAGTTCTATTGGACAGTATGTACCTAGAGATTCATCAGAGTAGAAGAAAGGGGAGAATTTAGTCTCCTGAAAGCCATTCAAGTACAGAACGACCCATGGTATTAAGTGCTCCAATAAAAGCATATGAAAGCTAAAAACAAACAATAACTTGTGACTCTTAAAGCAGTTTCAGACTAGTAAAAAAGTTAGAAACTAGATTATAAGAGATTTTGGATGAAATTGGTGATAAATAGGTAGAGGTAACAAGTATAAACAATTCTTTCAAGTAACTTTTCAGTGAAGAAAAAGAGAAAGAATGTAAACCTAAGGAAGAACTGAAAGAGAATCAAGCTGTGTATGTATGTGCCTAAGATAAGCATGTTTGTGGACTCACTGGAAGGCTCGGCTACCAATCAACCAACCAGCTATCCACTAACTCTACCAATCAAAAAAGGCTTTGATGTAGCGATGACAATTGAGGGGATAGAATCATACAATTTTAAAGCTACGAGAAGCCTTAGGAATCATCTAATCTACTGGTCACATTATATAGAAAGCAGGTGCCCATTCACACCCATAGCTTAGTAGTATTAAAAGCTAGAATAAGAACTCAGGTGTTCTGCATCCTAGGCCATTAGATGTTCAGCCTCATTCAAATGCCTCTTAAGACACAGACCAGAAAAGTGAAGAAAGCTTATTCTATTGACTTCCATTAATCTAGCAAGAAAATATCTATGTTCACATATATAAAACTTCAATTTAAAGAAAAAGAGACAATTTTTTTACTTCTCTCCTTTAAAATTTAGAAAAACAGAACTAAGCCTTGAGTGTCTACTATTTTGTAACAAACATTACACTAAAAAGACCTTAAATATCATCTAATTAAATCTTTACTATAACCTGTTTTCAGTATTCACAGCTTAGAAATTTATGCATCAGGTCAGTGAGGTCATAGAGGTAGTGACACTTTTACTCAGTTCTATACTATAATCAATTAGAAAATGGTGGAGAAAGTGGGAGAAAAAAGATCAATAGGCTAGGGAATGGAAATTAGATGTTTAACAAAGTATGAAAGTAACAAGGACAAATTCATATACATGCCAATCTTAAAAATAAAACCAAAGAAAACCAACTCTTTAGATAAATAATTGCTAATTAAACAAAATGTTTCAAGGAACTCTAACATTGCCTTTGGAGGGAACTGGGTGGCTGGGGAACAGGGTTTTAAGGAGACTTTTCACAGTAACTTTTGAATTTTAACAATAACAATCTATTACCTCTTCCAATAAATAAAGTTTCTTTAAAAACTTTATATGTTTCAGTTCCTACCGGTAGTTTGTAATTACTAGCATTCTACAATCCCCTAAGGCTGCAGAAAAATTGAAATTTCAAGAAAGAAAAATCCTGTGTTCTGAAAAGGCAAGGGAAAAATTACATTAAGAACAGCAGATTTGCCTTTGGGGGTTGGGAATCAGGAAGGGAGAGAAGTCATTGCCTGCAACAATCACTATTTGATCAAACCAATTCTATTGCTATTATTTTTAGCTCATCTTTTTAGCCTGTTGCTAAGGAACCCTACAACCCGAAAGCAATTTACTCATAGGAACCCACATGAAGCAAGAGAAAAGCAATGACGCTGAAGCTTTCTAATTAAGCCATTAAGTCTATTTTAGTGCCGTTTAATAAATTATTTCCTCTCGATTTTTATGCACCGCTATAGTGATGTTGAAAATCCTGTTGTACCCAAAAGCAAAATCATTATTTGTAAATTTTTAATGAGGGTTTGCAAATCAGTATATCTGAAATGGGGAGCCATAGTTCTGGATTCTGATTTTCTATTAATACTTGTCTTTTATTCTTGAAAATACTAGACAATTTCTTGTTCAGTATTTTCTACCAAGAATTCTAAACAGGGGCTTCCCTGGTGGCGCAGTGGTTGCGAGTCCGCCTGCCAATGCAGGGGACACGGGTTCGTGCCCCGGTCCGGAAGATCCCACGTGCCGCGGAGCGGCTGGGCCCGTGAGCCATGACCGCTGAGCCTGCGCGTCCGGAGCCTGTGCTCCGTAGCAGGAGAGGCCACAACAGTGAGAGGCCCGCGTACCGCAAAAAAAAAAAAAAAAGAAAAAAAATAATTCTAAACAATTTCTTGCAAGGGAAATTTTTGTATTTTAAGAGGTCTGGTGCAGAACATGAAGAAAGGATTTGACAAAGCTATTAGATACATAAAAGCTATGAATTGACATTTCTACTTGGGATGTGGCAAGAAGGCTGAGACATCTAGTGCAAAACGGCATGACAGTGGGCGGAACAGAGCACTGGCGAGGCCGCGGATGCTCCAGGGAGCGAGGTGTCAAGCGGAATCCGGTATGACACAAATACGTACAGGAAAAGTGGGAACTCTAGGTCTTCGCATTTCTACCCACTCAGTTCGAGAACCTCATAACAACACACAGACGTCATCGCTTTCGTAATTGGCGCAGACGGTGAGTCGCAGGGACGCCATTCAAGCCGTTTCAACTGGAGCCAACCTGTATCTACCCGTTTCCACCGAGCCTGATTTGGGCCACCTGCTGTTGCCCCCAATAACCTCAAATTCGTCCAAACTAAAATCTGGCCATGGTAGAGCTAAGAAGATCGGTGATACAGCGAGCTACCTTCAGCTTTTAGCTCTTTCCTCCCATATTTTTAACAGTCCTTCCAATCCGTTGGTTTCCGAGGACACGGGTACAGACAACGGAGCTAACACCGCCGGGCTCTAAGTAGCGTCAACGTGGCAGTAACGAGAAAACGAGGGGTCCAAATTCCACCAATAAATGAGGCAGCTCGGCCTACGCCCCGCCCACCACTCCTGCCAGCCAATAATCTTCACAACTCTTCTGCTACTCCCGCCCATTCTTAGCGCAGTTTCAGAGCCTTTTCCTCTGTTCCCCCGAGCACCAAAAACCCGCCGTATGTGCGCCCCTCTTCTGCTTCGCTATACCAGAGAGCCCTCTGCCCTTCTTTATTGAAGGCGTAGGGTACGGCATCGGCTACCACCCGAGGCCCAAGATCCCAGAAGCTAGTCTCACAAACAGCAGCAGAACGAAAGTAAACAAAAAGGGCTGCCTGGGACTTCCACCGCACGCCCAGTTTACCTTGACCCGGAAAGGATTCACCACTGCTCCTCCCTTCCCACTCCTCCCTCCCTGGTTGAGAAGGGAAGACGACGGCCGGGTCTGGCCCGGCATGCGTTGGGCTTCCGGTGACCTCTGGCCTTTTTCTGTCGTCCGCTCTTGCTGCCTAGCGCGCTTGTTCGCTCAGTGCTTTCCGTCCTTGCCTCTCTCCCGTTTTTCTTCGCACGCTGCCTGGTGACTGTGGCGCCCGTGAACAGCAAGGAGGCGGTGGCGGAGGACCCTCGTCATGGCCGCCTCTAAGCCTGTGGAGGCGGCGGTGGTCGCAGCGGCTATTCCCGGCTCCGGGAGTGGGGTGGGCGGCGGCAGTGCGACTGCGGGCCCGGGCACCGGGGGCCTGCCGCGATGGCAGCTGGCGCTGGCGGTCGGGGCGCCCCTGCTGTTGGGCGCGGGTGCCATGTACCTGTGGAGCCGGCAGCGGCGGCGCCGGGAGACCGGGGGCCGAGGCGACGCCAGCGGCCTGAAGCGCAACAGTGAACGGAAGACCCCGGAGGGCAGGGCCAGTCCGGCCCCGGGCAGCGGACACCCCGAGGGCCCCGGTACTCACCTGGAAATGGTGAGAAGCAGCCCCGAGCCCTGGAGGTAGAACCCGGCGGGTGCAGCCTTTCCTTGACGAGTTGTGCCCGTCAGGGGGCTTCCCATGAGACGGAAGCTGCCAACAGGCAGCGCATGGGTTTAGGGAAACTCAGTTCTGGCTGCCTTTATAGGGAATAGAGTAGCCCGAGGGCACAGGTTAGCAACATTCGTTGAGAGCTTCCTTTTGGTTTCAGAAAAATATTTGCTTTTCTTCTCAGTGACACAGCATTTATCCTTAGCGTTGTGGGTATGGGGACATTTGCAAATGGGATGATTGTATTTAACTAACTAATGAAGGAAGCCAAATTCCCTTAACTATCGGTACGTTGTGATGTGAATTGCCTTGGTCATGTCTAAGGCCTAGGACTTAATTAGTAATAATCTTTTAATAACAAGCGAATCCCCTTTTTTGAAGTATTTTAGGGTTGGGGATAGGTAAATACAGTGACTGTTGGTTGACAAGAGTGAAATGGTGTTCAGTGGCATTTATTTCATCTGTGGGCATGAGTTCTTAAACTTTTGGGGTAGAAGCATCTTAAATTCATTTTTAAATTTTACCTGGAAATTTACATGACCAAGCCTGACATACGGTTAAGCCAAGCGTCGGAGTGTCTGGTGAATTAACTGCTTTGTATGGCTTTGTTGAACTATTAAATCCTTCTGGTATCTGACAGCTGTGGGGGGAATTGGCCTGGCTGCATTTAACAATACTGGGGTGAGATAACGTGAGGTGGAGGATTTTATCTGAGTCTGAGATTGTACAATGGTGGTTACGGGGTAAATCAGAGTTCACAGTAACCTTTGGTCAAAAAACTCCCAATTATATACGTTTGCAAGTTATTTCCACATTATATTATTCAGACTGAAGACATGTTTTTATTAAGTAGTCAAATTAATTTTAAAGTAAGTTCTGATGTGGAAGCAAACTACCTTAGTTTAGTGCATCCTATATATCTGGCGTTGTGCTAGGCCCTGAGAGAGCCAAATAGTCTTTCTAATGGGAGAGTAAGATACTGCTTTAAAAAGAAAATGCAGAAAAGATGCAGTACAAGTACGCTGGAAGAACCCATGGATTGTGAGAACCAGGAGAAGTGTGCTTTATATTGGGCTCTCCAACATGGTTACCTTGAGAAAGTCATTTTATCTCTTCGACGTTAGTGTCATCCCTGTAGAATAAGAGAATTAAAATATTGGATCTCTTATATTTCTTCCAGCCCTAAAAATTGGTGATTCTGAGTGCTATTAATGAGAGTGGTAATCAAGGTGATTCTTTGAGTTAGTCATCATTTGTCTTGTTGTTTTCATATTTCTGAAATTCTCTGGTCATTTCCTATTTCATTTGCTTATTTTAATCACAGGAGAATAGTAGGTGAATGAAAAATACATAAAAGTTCTCTGTTCTATAATAATCACCAAAAATAAAGATAATTTCTATAAAAGAAACAAGGTTTTGATATTTCATTGCAGTTTCAAATACTACCCTACCTCACCTGTTTGGTATTTGATAGAATTCAGCAAACTGTCTTTCAGATTTTAGATTTCCTTAAATCCCATTTTCAGCTTTTCAGCATTGTCTAGGTCAACACTGATAATTTTTAAATTTCATGGTGTATTGTAGTTTTATCAGAACATTTTTTTAAATTGACCTGACTGCCACTAAAAATTAGACTTTAACATTGACTTCTTTGTAACTTGAACTGCTTTAAAATGATTCTTTTTGACCCAAAATAAAACTGAGCAGAACACTTGCATATACTGTTCTTGTGGAATTTGTGGGGTGGTACCTGTAGTCTTGCTTTGGGTTACTAGATGATACTTCAGTAAAGCAACAGTAAGAATGTCTTTGCCACTTTTTTAATAGAAATTTGTATTTTAGTTGATGGTGACCAATAAATACTGAAAGACTTTTTTGTCTTTTTTATAGTCTAGTTCTCAGAGTTATTATTAGACTACCTAAATATAACCACAAATTGTAATTTATTATTATCTGTGGTTGGAGAAATTGCTTTATATTTGAATAGCACCTTCAAATTGTCAACCTCAGTGGGTTTTGTAAACAAGAAAGCATTTGTTTGAACTGATGGAAAAACTGGCAGAATCCTGGTGCTCTGACTGTTCTTTCTCCACCTGAGCAATAGCTGTAATTTTTAAGGCAATGAAGGAATGGACAAATATTGTCAGTTCAGGGTTCAGTATCAGTGAATAAAGTGGAAAATCAGTGGTTATTGTCTGTTGGCTTATGTTTGCCTTAATGTAAAAATGAACTTATAAAATAACTGGGCTTCTGTCTATTGGGTTTGAGATATTCACGTGCAAGCAGGCTATATCAAATTATTTTTTTTTCTGGGATAGCATATACTTGTAAAGCAAAAGCAAAAATTCATATTTTTGTTTAATTAATGGGGATTTTAGGATTTCACCAGAGAGGCATCTAATCACAGTTATAGTGTGTGAGATAGAGGTAAAGTATTAAATCATATTCCACTTCGGGCCATTATAAAATCTACCATGATGTGCCATTTTGCTTTAGTAATTTATTTTGAAAACTTGAGAATTACAGATTTTTCAAAGTTGGTAAGGTTCTTTGCCAATCATCTAATCCACAGGACTTCTCAGTCTTTGGGCCAGAGTTATCACGGGGGAGCATCATGCCCACATATACACCAAGCATGGTATCTGGTTGCACAAATGTCTTAGGTATTTCTTTTTTCAAGCAACCTGTGATTTTTTTATTCTAATACATTTATTTATTTTTGGCTGCATTGGTTCTTAGTTGCTGCACGTGGGCTCTCTCACTTGCGGCGAGCGGGAGCCACTCTTCGTTGCGGTGTGCGGGCTTCTCACTGCTGTGGCTTTTCTTGTTGCGGAGCACAGGTTCTAGGCACCTGGGCTTCAGTAGTTGTGGCACACAGGCTCAGTAGCTGTGGCTCATGGGCTCTAGAGTGCAAGCTCAGTAGTTGTGGCATACGGGCTTAGTTGCTCCACGACATGTGGGATCTTCCCAGACTAGGGCTCGAACCCATGTCCCCTGCATTGGCAGGCAGATTCTTAACCACTGCGCCACCAGGGAAGTCCCTGTGATTTTTTTTCTAATGTGCATGTATTTATTATTGACTTTATAGTAGTGTTTTATCCAATTGTTTTTAATTTGATGATTTTAAAAAGCAGTTATTCTAGTGTTCAAGTTTTTTCAATGTTACACAAGAGTTATCCCAACAGGAAATGTTTAGGAACCACTAAATCAGTCCTTTAGAATAGGAAGGGAGAGATGTACCTAAACATTTTAATAAAGGGGTCAAAAACTGAGTAACCTGCTGTTATCAGTCATGGTTGAAATGAAATAGTTCTTCCCCCTCAATGATCTGTTTCTAATCTTTTTTTTTTTTTAAATCAGGGTCACTAGTGACATTCTTATATAATTAAGTCTAGAGAACACCTTTCAGTCTTTATCTTACTTGATGCTTTGCAATATTTCACATTGTCTTCTCTTAATTTCATAATTTTTCCTTTGGCTTCTGAGGCACTATGTTGTCCTGATTTTCTTTGCTTTTTTTAAAACTTCCTGATACCTCTCTTTGCTGATTCCTCTCAGTCTCCTTTCCAGGCTCTTTTCTCTGCCTCTTTTGGTGACCTTCATTGTTCTGTCATAGGCATTCTTATATTCCATACCTTCACTGGATGCTTGCTTGCCCTCCAGAAGCTTCACTTAACACTTATATACTGATGGCCCCCTAATTTCTTGTTTATAGCCCAGACCTCTCAAAAGGCCCGGATTTAAAGGAAATCTTCACCTCATTACCTTACAAGTGTTTCACACCAGACTCCTGTTTCTCCTGAGACTATTCCTTATCATTTAATGTGTGTCATCTAACTAGTTTCCCAAGCCAGAAACTTGGATATCATCCCTAACTTTCTATTCTTTCCATGTTCTCCACATCCAATCTAGAAACACGTCCAGAAAATTCTACTTCTTTTTTTTTTTTGCAGTACGTGGGCCTCTCACTCTTGTGGCCTCTCCTGTTGCAGAGCACGGGCTCCGGACGTGCAGGCTCAGCGGCCATGGCTCACGGGCCCAGCCGCTCCATGGCATGTGGGATCCTCCCAGACCGGGGCATGAACCCGTGTCCCCTGCATCGGCAGGCAGACTCCCAACCACTGAGCCACCAGGGAAGCCCAGAAAATTCTACTTCTTAAATATCTGACTACTCCTCCATTCCCACTGCTATTTCTTGACTGAATAACTGATACTCTCATTAGTGTCTTCCTCCAATCCATTTTGTCAGAGCTAGAGTAAATCCTAACAGTCCCATGCTTAGAACTGTTAAGTGGTCTGTTCACTGCTCACCGAGGTAAAGTTCAAATTCATCATGATTTAAGACCC